TACTCTCAAAACTAAATAAAGACTCCAGTACTCTAAAAAATATCTTCCTTTTACGTGTTACGATGTTAAATAAAAGTGGTGTGAAATCAAAAAATAAAATTATATATCTAAAAACTACACCATAAGATCTATAAAACTAGTAATGATATAATTATATTATTTTATCAAATATATAATTAAAATAAGTAAGCAAAGTAAATAAAATTTGATCTTGTTAATACTCTTAATAGTAAATGAGAAGATAATTTTTGGACGAAGGAGGTATTTTTTATTAAAATATAAAAAAATAACTAAGATGCCAATTAAGCTGAATTAATTAATCTTTAATATTACTAAATTTTTTTTACATATTACTATATTAGTTTTTTATTATGTAATTTTTATTTTTTTAATTTCACACCATTTTTTATATAAAATACTTTAAAAATAATTTCAGTCAAATATAATAATGTGCAATGAGAATATACTTTTGGGAGAACTGGAGTCTTTATTTGATTTTGGGAGTATTATTGTAAAATTTTGAATTTCTATGAGTATTTATATAATTTTTTCCTCTTATTAAAACAAAAAAAAACAACTAAGATGACAACTAAGCATAATTACTTACATGTAAGCATAAGAAAAGCTGATTAGGCATAGTGGGAGTAGTAATGTAAACTTATAGTTTAATTGGGAGCACCAGAGTCTTTTATTAAATTTGAGAGTATTATTGTAAAATTTTAAATTTCTAGGAGTATTTATATCAATTTTTCCTTTATTATTTTAGATTACTTATGTTTCAAAATTAATGATGAATTTGGAATATAGAGTCATAAAATTTTAGACGCCTTGTGCGGTTGACCACTTTAAACACCCTCTGGATTACCCATGAGTGCTTGTTAATAATTAAATCAAATAAAAAGAAAATGTGTGAAAGATTAATTAGTAAATGTTCTTTTGAGGGAAATTAGTAAAGATTAATTAGTAACACTTGTACAAAAGAAATTACTCGTAACACTTTTTAACAATTTTAGTTTTTTCAATTCACTCTAAAGATTTGTGATATTTTTACATAAAAATAAAAATAAAAAAAAGTTCCGAGAATGGGTAGCAAGCTAAAGAAGTAGTGGTACTCCGTCGCTCGGAGCATTCTCATGCATGGTGACACGTGTACCTCTTGCATGCTCGCCGTCTCATTTTTCCGTGCGGTCACAACAAAATTATTTAAAGGATACAATTGAATAGGGACATACTCCATATATTGTCATGGGATGACCCAGGGGTGCTCCAGTGTCCCTTTTGTAAAATTAACGATTTCTACCTTTTTAATCCACGGTAAATCCCCCACTCCGCCCCGACCCAAACACACTCTTCTTCAATTGCACCCCACAGGTTGATTTTGACTTTAGAGTGACTCCAAAGTCAAAATCAACTTGTGTGGATGCAATTGAAAGGGTTAGGGGTGTGTTCGGGTCGGGGTGGAGTGAAGGGGATTACCGGGGGTTAAACGGTATGAACCGTCAATTTTACGAACGGGAGACCGGAGCACCCCCGTGTCATCCCATGACATTGTCGGGCAATGTCATGGAAACCTTGCCCATAGATTCATCTAGTTTAACTTTTATGTCAAACTATAGAAATTTTGAATTATATTTACTCTCGATCAGAACCCAGCCCTCTACTCCCTTCATTTGCATCTCCAAGTTAAATTTGACTTTGGAGTCAATTTTGACTCCAAAGTCAAAATTAACTTGAGGTGCAATTGAAGAGGTGAAGGTGGTGGGCTTCACCGGGAAGGTTAGAAGAGTAGAAACCGTAAATTTTACAAACGGAGCACCGTAACATCCTCGAGTTATCCTATAACATGCGGGTTCCAATGTCACGAAAACCCTTTCGTTAAATCATATCATATCAGAATTCATTTCAATTGAGATCAGGAGAAAACAAGGATTTTAACCAAAGAAAACTGTATTTTTGTCGTAATGAAAAACATCTTTGAGCCTATATCCAGGATGTTAATTACCATATTACCCCCTTCAAAAACCCAATTGTACTTCTTCAGGCCGAATATTTCGTTGTCCCCTTCATGTTTTCATTTGTACGAAATTAAGTGCCCACTTTCCATATTTTAAAAAAATATGATGAAGTGTGTAAAATATCTTTAAAATGGAGTATGGGCCCCGTTGGGCATCAGCATTAGAATTTAGCGTTCGCGCTTTGAAAAAAGCTATCGGGCAATAGCCTTTAGGGTTAGCGTTTTCACAATCAATATACACTATTAATTTTTTTTATTCAAAACACTAACGTTAATCGAAAATGTTGTTCCCAAACAAAGTCTATGAACATTATTAACAAGAACGAGCGTTTAGACCCATTCATTAATGTCAAAAAAAAACCCAGAAAAAAGCTCAAAAGTGTGGGTGAAGGAGCGGAAATGTTTTTATATACTCAAATACGCTCTGTCAGATGGAGGTGAGGTCTCTTGGACCGAGCTTTACATATGGACTGGTCAAAGAACCATCCCAGCTCAAACTTATAACTGAAGGCCATCAGGGATGTGTTTATATATATATATATACTTTAATACTAAACATGAGATTTTTTAGAAAGTGGACAGCTAAATCCAGACAGAAAGAGGACATGACAAGATACAAAAAAAAAAGAGAATGTGAGCAAGAGGAAGGGAAGAGGAAAAAACCTTCATTCATTTATGAGCTTGTTGAGAAGAATGGTCAAGAGAGCATCCCTCTTCTCAGCTCTGCTCTCCTCTTTCATCTTGCGCCGCTCCTCTCTCTCCCTCCACGCCTGCTCGAACACGACCCGATCCTCCTCGAGCTTCCTCATCGTTTCCCGCCATTCCCGCTGGAACGCCTCCCTTTCCACAGCGCACTTCTCCATGGACTCCCTCCATTGCATCTCACTCCTCATCTGGTGCTGAATGAAATTGCTGAATATGTCTTGAATGCCCTCCAAAGTGCTTTGGTTGCCCCGGTGTTTCGAACGTTTCTCTGTGGTGGTCAACCTCGGCCTCTTTTCTTTCGGGGCTTTTGGTTTTGGGCCCGTGGCTTCTCCGCCTCCTTCGCTCTTGCACTCCTTCTCCGCGTCTTCTACTGAGAATTCCTCCGAGGATCGGTCTGCACTCCGACCCCTCTTTCCAACCTGCAGTTGCAGAGTAAATAAATATTACGGAGTACATTATACTCCCTCTGTCCCTCAGTATTTGTCCACTTTTGACTTTTTTCAGTCAAAATCGCTAAACTTTGACCTCAAATTAAATAAAAGTGATATATTAGATATTGATACAAAAATAATTCTATTCAATTTATTGTATAGACTGTTTTCAAAATATTATTTTTTCTAATTAATAAACAAAAACTATGCTTTCATATATTATCAAAAGTAGGCTATGTAATGTATTCTTTATATGAATACATAGATACAAAATGAATCTGTGAAAAGCTTTTGTAGTACTATGTAATGATATTCTTTTTTATTGATGCTCAAAGCTCGTCCACTTTGATGGTAAATAATTAAACTCGACAAACACATTGGGATGGAAGTAATCTTAGTTTTTTTTAGCATGGGTTTAGGTCTTTAGGATGTTGGACAGTATCCTCGACAATATATTATGTGTGTCTAAAGGAAAAACGAAAAAAGGCTTCCATACCGAACCAGCACGATGTTGAGAGTTTTTTTCTGCAGTTCGCACCATGCTGATTCGACATGGAAGTGGTTCCATGTTCTGCTGCTGACCTGTTGACGAACAACCTCAGATTCAGGTTCAAATTGTTGGATGGTATTGTCATTTGCTTTAAGGACTGCGTAGAGCTCCTCAAAGAAAGGGCATTGCTTGCCACCATCTGGATAAGATGTTTCCATCCCCTGCACCAGCAAAAACATATCGGTCTACGAACAAAAACTGCAATAAAAACTAATAGAAAAAACTTGTCAAAATGAGAAGATACTCATACTTCACCACCAAACACAGAAAAGAGTGAGAATTAAGCTTCAAAAACACATACAACTACTGGGTAAAACATGAATATCCTGTCTTAAAAAACATTGTTTTTGGGATGGAAGGAATATTTAATCAACAACAACCCAGTGAAATCCCAACTCCGTTGGGGTGTGGAGGTTAAGATTAACGCAATTTTGCTCATGCAAAAAGAGTAAGAGATGTTGTTTCCGTTAGACCTTAGATGCATTGTTGCATTTATTGCCCAAAATTCCATAGAGTAAAAAACAGAGAAAGTTCAATGTGCCTTTTTTTATTTACTCCATTATGTTCTAGAAACTAAAGCGTTGTCAATGATGACTCTTTTAATCACTGAAAGAGAAATGATTTGCATGCCTTGAGTGGCTGAATCACACTATTAGCGCAAATCATAACTAAAAATGGAATTTCGGGTACGTTTGGTTGGAAGGGATATTATGAGCCTTGAAAAATAATTATTCTGGCTTGATGATGTTCTTACTTCCATGCTTGCTTGTTCGCTTTCCACATTGCCGACATTACTTTTTTTAATGACCCAGGTTCCGAACTTCCTTGGACATTAATAAATCCAATGAATCCGCTACAAGGCCAATGGACAATGTGAATGCAGTACATTCTTAACTAATCATCCAATCATTTTGACTAAATAACTATGTGCACTATGATATGTTTTTGAACTCTATGCTTACCAGCCTTTTCATATGGCCAATGATACTGCCTCAATACTACTACAGCAAAAACATCATGAGAACTGATGGATATGAAGATAATCCTACAAGGTTCCTTCCCACGCTATATGGAGGCAAAGACTTAAAGTCTCACATTTCACACTCCACTAAAGCCCGGAGTGCCCACACTACTTTAATTTTCGCTACTTGTCTAGACTCTCTTCCTCTCTAATCCTAAACTTAGGGATATAAAATGCACCTCTACATCTCCCCTATTTCAGATTTCAGAAGGGAATATAATGGGTTTGTTTGGTTTATTGAATTAACCAATCGATCTATGGGGTACTGCATAGTAGATTGAAATTAATACTTTCAAAACTGGATCAAACAGGTCGGTCGAACGAGTTCAACAGGTGACTGGAGCTTGGACCGATCCCAAAACACCTAGTCAAAATGCACTGAAACGAAACCAGACAAAACCACTCACAAACGCACAAGAATCAGTCAAACCAGGCCTAGTTCTTGAAGTGGACTGCCAGTTCACTTCAGAATAACCCCAAAAATATTTTGGTATATGCCAATACTTGAGAGGTTGTATATTTGATTATTCCTTAAATAGATTGTCTTTTGTTTATAGTTATGCGCCTAGATAACATGAAGATACCAACAAGATTGATGTTGAAATTGATATTTCAGAAATTAATCATGTCCCCCCCCCCATTTTTGTCTGTATTTATAGTAGTATATGTACACTTCTTTTCTTCCTTTTTTTGGAAAAGAATATGTGGTCCAGAAGACTTCTTTCCCATCCAAACAAATTCTAACCTCCCATTTTTCATTTGTTAACATCTTTTCAACACTTTTCTTAATAACTGTGAAGTCAGGGTGTACAAATCTTTGTGGAGGGAGCAAATAGATTATTAATATGATTATTTATTTTGATTTTTATCTCTATTTGTGATGTCATACTGGTTTAACCTGTGGTAGAACGTCACTGGTTCTATGTCTGGTCTTGCTTAAGAGCATTGATTGTAACCCATGAATTAAATTGCACATTCCAATTATCCACCCTGCAGTCCAGCGAACTAGGAGTCATTCAATGAGAGAAAATTACTTTTGGGTGATACGGGTTTTGTTAAAATAACTCGGAGGTTGCTTTATTTTCAAAAAGAATAGGGGCCCTTACATTTTGTTGTAAAGACTAGAAGGGGGCATTCCGTCCACTATTCCGTTATTGATCGTCAAAAAATATATTTTTCTCCCATTTTGTCCTTACAATAGTCATTTTAGTTGCAGTTATGTTTCATTGAGAATTTTTGAAAAAAACGGTTACATAAGAAATTGAAAAAACTTTATGAAAAAAAGGAAACATAGTGAAGATAAAAAGAGAAATAAAGAAGAAAAAAGAAATTAAAAAAGTGAAGGCCCTGAGCTTTATTAACATAAAACCATCAAGGGCAAAATGGAAAAATACATTTTTAACGGTCATTAACGTAATAGTGGACGGAATGTCCTCCCCAGTCTTTACAACAAAATGTAAAGGATCCTGGTGTCTTTTTGAAAAGATAAAGACCTGCATTATTTCAACAAACCCCCATCGTCCTAGAGTAACTTTCTGATTAGTTGACCTACCGCGTTTCAGAAATGAAGTATGGCCTCGTTTGGCATCAGCCTTAGCCTTAGATATTGGCGTTATCCATGATTAGCCATCACAAGCTCAACACAAAACAAACCATTTGCAGATATTCTGGAAAATGACAAAGATCAAACGCAAATAGTCTTACCCTGTATCGATTGACTAGGTTTTTCCACTTGCATTTGCACTGCTCGGCGGTCCGGCGATACCCTAGGTCCTTCATCTTCGCCGCCGCGACTTCCCAGAGAGCCTTGGAATTGCTGCGCTTGGCGGCGGAGATATCTCCGGCCATCCCTGCCCTAATCGCGATGAATTCCCTCGTCTCCTGGTTGCTCCACTGCGGAATCCGCTCATCCCGTCTCGGAAGCTCGTCGTCTCCGCCGAAGCCTGTACCGACACTAGCCGCGGACGGGATCGACGCCGTCGAACGATGATGGTGTGGCAGCGGCGGAGGCATCATTTGGTGGTGGCTGAATGATCCGCCGCCGCTGCCGCCGTAGCCAAAGTTTTCACTGTCTCTGCTTCCTCCACCATGCCCACTGCCTCCTCCGAACATCATTTTAGATTTATTAATAATTTTCTTTTAAAAAAAGAATTGGGTGTAATTGTTTTGGGCTTAGAAGTTTTTACCTTTTCCTCCCTTTTTCTTGTTCTTGTGGGCTTATATTAAATGGAAAGTGAAGGAGAAAAAAGCGAATTTACTCATTATAATTTGTGATTAAAACTTTTTTAATACTTTTTTCTTCTTTACTTGGTTGACAGGATATAGAATATTTTGGGGTCGTTGGTTGGAACTTTGAATGGGTCATTTGAGTATTTTACCATAATCATTACATCAATTGTGGGTAATTATAAAAAAACTGTTGAAAATTTAAAAACATATAATTAATTTTTTTAGAACACTCCAAATGGTGTTTGAAAAAAACTTCCTCACCACTCTCACTACATTTTCTCTTTCATTCACATCATTTTTTCAGTGTGAAAATTTAGATTTAAAAATTACATTCCATCAATGACAAAGCAAAAAATTTCTTTGTGTGTGTAATCTTACTATATACAAAGCTAAGAGGCAAAAATGAACAGTAATTTTTCCAGCTCAAAGCTACAGTAAAAAAGAGTGGTCGATAACAAGGGAGAGCGTACTGGAGAAGCTAGCGTACTGGAGAAGCTAAGCCATTGTTTTGACTAGGGTTTTCTGATATTTTCTTCTTCGCTCCTCCTTATTCTCTCTCTCTGGCTCACTACGTCTGGGTTTAGGGTTTCGATCGTAACGACATCTGCAGTGATTGGATCTTAGGAGGAAGGCGGTTCATCGTCACCATCTCCCCGTTAAGCCAGTACATAGATCCGCGACAATCACTCCAGGAGAAGATTTAGTTAGCTGCTTTGGAAGATTTCAATAATTGAAATTAATTTTGTGAGTAATTCTCCTGTAGAAGAATCTCTGCCAATTAATTTTATGAGTAATTCATCAATTTTCGGTTGAATTTTGTGCATTAATTTTAATAAATTTTACTTATTAAACCTATTATAAATCCCCTAGGAACTTCTCCTCAATTCAACGGAGAAGATGTACATTACCTAGGCTACATTTCCTTGATAATGATCTAGCCCAACTCCAACACAAGAGGCCAGTGAAGAAGATGAAGTCCTATACCTCAATGAAGAACCTCAGGTGCGCTTCTGTTATTTCTTTGCTTTGATGCCAAATCCTAATGCTTCTGGAAAATTGTTACTGCCTCAATCCAGGAATTGAGGAGGCTCAACCCAATTATTAGTTTGTTTCAAATCCATGAAGTTTCTGAGTGACCAAAGAAATAAAAATGCAGAGCTAAGGAGATGATCAAGTTAATGGAAAAGTGGTCAGTAGAAGCCCTCTTTACATTTAGTAAACTAATGGATTAGGATGGTTTTTGTGAGCCAAAAATAAGAAAAAAAAATTGTGGTTTAAAATACTTCAACTTTTTAATGGCTTGGAATTGACACATTTGTGAAATGATCTGTTCATTGTGTATTTGAAATTTTTGATGTTAAATTTGCAACATGGTTAATACAGGGTAATGAACTTTAGAAGAACCCATATCAACAATGCTAGAGACTTTTCTAATACAGGGTAACTCTCTTTCATCTCTACTTTTCTTTTCTCATTTTTCATTTTTTTATATTCTAAGTAGGTATTAGATGCAAACTACAGTTTTGGCTCTCTTATTATTGTTATAGATGCAAACTGCATTTTCTCAATTTGGTTGCACAAGGTAAATTAACATCATGTACGTTTATTGCTATTAGAAAGACAAGTTACTTTACTCTAATGACTATATTCGTGATTAGTTGAGATTATGATTACTGTTACATTAAAATTTTTCATCATTCGTGATTAAGTTTCTCTATTATTCATATTCATTTGTATTCTCATAGGTCATTGTTGCTACCCCCGGGATGGTTGAAAATCAATGGGAACATGTCAAGACGATACACTCATGTACATGGTAAGACGTTCACCTATCTCAAAGACATGAGTAAAAAGTGAGAAAAAATAAGTAGAAATACTTTGTTTAAATTTATTTAACTCAATTTGTCCTTTTATGTTGCTAAAATATTTAGTTAGTAATATCAAGTTACTGGCAATATTATCTTTAGATGTTAAAAGTTTAGTGATTAAGAACGATTCTTCAATTGTGCTCATACTGATATTTTACATAGAATTATTTGTGGTTTTTCATTGTTTCTTGCGGTATAGAGGTTTCATTATGCTTGAAACACTTTGAATGGGTTGTCAATTCAATCTGCTTCAAACAATGTTATTTGTATTTACAAAAGGATATTAAAGCCATGTGACTGTTCCCTAAAGTTTATTAAAGAACTGACTTATACTTGCAAAGAATAGGTGAAAATGTGAACCCTCTAAATAAAAAAAGGTACATGACTCCATCTATGATTTGAGAGAGTGTATGGAGAAGCTATTATACATTGGGAGAAGCAAATACTAGATATGTGCTTTTTCCAAATTATATCAAGTACCAAAGGTTTATTCTTTGATTACACTTTAATCTCAAGAGACCACTTTTATCGTGTGTCTCGAGTTTAATTTATGCTATTAGACTATTAGAGATTACCACAATTATGGTGTGTTTTGAGAAGCACTTATCACCCATTTTAGATAAATATTTAGCCGCGCATCGCGCGGGTACGATTTCTAGTTTTAGCAATGAAGAATGTGGTTGTACATGACAAGGCCTGAGATGTTCGGGAAATCTAGAAAAAGTGATTCATTGTTTGACTCAATGCCATTATACACAATGATGAACAAGCAAAACATATCTGTCTCACGTTAACTCCATGTGNGGGGGGGGGGGGGCACATATGACAAAGGTAGTGGTGATTTTATAAAAACAATGTTGTTTCAAACAAAAACAGCTTAAGAAAAAATAATAATAAATACGTGTGACAAAAATATTGTCGAGTAATATACAAACAAAAAGAGTTTAGTATATGAAAAATAAAAAGAGAAATTAAAAAAAATAGAGTATAAATTATTAAACTGTTTTAGTAAAAATATGAAACTTCTATAATATATGGAGTAATATTTATTTTATTTTTTTAAATACTTTCTAGCATACGCCTCTATATTTCAAACCTATAGGACATGATTCCAAGAATGAATATCATTTATTTTTTCCATTAGTCTTAGGAGGATAAAGATTAAAAATATACTTATTTTATTAGAATGTGACACTAATTAAACTGAATTATATAAAAACAAATTTAAGCTTAAGTAAAATAAGATGAGACGAGATCATATTAAATAGATGAGACCTTAATAAAATAATAGGGAATATCACATCTAATTAGTTTAATTCACTGTTAACAAATGTGTGGCCGGTTCACCATCTTGTAATCTTGACTCGCCGGTCTGGCCTGGTTCCAGCTGCAGATATACCCTGCTGTGGCAATTCGCTTCTACGGAATCCCTCTTCAATTCGCAATCTAGGGTTTCCAATTTCTTCCGTTTTCATCTTCTTCCCCTGGTCGGAATACCAGAACTAATATACTCCCTTTGAATCTATGCAACCGCCAAACCACCTTCGAATCATCATACCGGAGATCATATAACTTCCGGTTCCGAAGCTGCAGTATATCCCGATTCAACAATTCTGGTGTAGAGAATTCATTATAATGATTATCTCTTTTCTCCTCCGGTTCACTTCATCGTCTCCGGTGAACGTTCTTGCTTCTGCGAATCTCCGTGTTTTTGGTCCGGGTCTGAATCCGTTTGCTCCGTATAACCTTGCCAATCATTCCTGCTCTCGCTAAGCCATTGTTCCCTTTCTCGTCGTCTTTGCTTCTTTTGTTGTTGTTGTTTTTGTTGATTTCCATCATCCGATCATGTAATTGAGGGGAAATAAACATATTTGCTCTCTTTTTATCAGTTTTCGAGTCTCACAGGGAAGATTTATTCTTACTGTGTATTGAATCGCTAGAAGATTATATCCAATTTCATCTGAATATTGTGAATCTATCTTGGTGCTGGGTCGAATGAATCCCTAGGCTTCTGATCTGTTTCATCTGAAACCAAAGGGTTTTATATTTTGGTCCTGCGGTTTAATAGATCTCTCCGTTTAATTTCAAAAACCAGAGGAAGGATATCCATTTTTAAACCTGCTACTGAAAAGCTTGTTTTTCTGCTTGAAGAGTCTTGATTGTTATAGTGTTGAGTTCCACTTCAGAAGATCATGGTCGTAGATCAGTCGGGTTTAAACAGGCGGTTTAAAAGGTCGATCATGACCGCAGACGATAGAGATGATCGAGGGTGGACTCCACTTCACATTGTTGCACGGAAAGGTGACTTGAAAGAGGTAATTTTTTCTCTTTTTCATATAAGGATGTTTTAATTTTTTAAAGATTATTATTTTTGATGCTTATGTTGATGAATTTCAGCCAATAGTACTCATTATTTACTCCAAAATATGCAAGCATTGGATTGCATATGCGTAGATGCATTGATACCTGTGATAATGGTCGTGTCTTTGGCTACTTGCAATAGCAATTCTAATTACTAATGACCTATCTCCCACGTCCTCCGTCCTACAAAGAATGTCACCCTTTCCTTTTTTGCCATCCCAAAAATAAATGCCACCCTCTTCTAATTTCCTTCCAAAGAAAGATACATGCGGCAGCATTCTACTTTTCATTCTCAATACTTTTCTTAAATTATATGAAGTCACACCATGCCATGGTGTAGGTTAACTTTTTTCAATTTTATGTGCAAGAGTAATAAATGTGAGTCATTTTAAAGGTTTTTTGTTTCATAGGTTGTGTTCAATTCCTTCTCTTTCTATTTGCCATATTTACACTACAGGTAAATTTCGACTCTGTAGCTATGCAGCGAATTGATGCTTTTGCTTGCTACACCTACATATCGTTTTTGCCTTTAAGTTGTTATTTGAGCAAGAAGTGGATAAAATTCAGTTTCTATTTTTTGTTGCTATCTCTATGCCTTTTTTGTTGGTCCATAGTAGGGCTTAAGTTATCACTTCCTTGGTTACATACCTCTCTTGTAAATTATCAATCCCACTTGTAATTTTACATTTATTTGTTTAACAAACTAAATTTCACAAATTTAATTTTAGGAACACCTTTTTTTTCTAAATTCAGTGGAAAGTAGCTTCATTTATTGAACATGACTCATTCTCGGAACAAAAATAAGGTTTGAAACATGACATTTTTTGGAATGGGGGACTAGGGAGTGATTTTATTTCAGCACATCTCTATTACTTTCAATCTTTCATACTCTTTAATATTTGAATTCAGTCTTGGTTTATAATTTGTTTGGCATGACTGTTTCTTCAGGTGAGGCGACTGCTTAAAGAAGGTATTGATGCGAATGTGGCTGCATGGGGTCCTAAAGCAGCCGGTGTGACACCCCTCCATCTTGCTGCTAAAGGTGGCCATGTCAAAGTTATGGACGAATTGCTTGAGCACGGTGCTGATATTGATGCACGAACCAAAGGAGCTTGTGGTGGATGTAAGTGTAGTTACATGTCATTCATGATATGTTTGGAACATGGAAAGTGCTATTGAAAGATAAAGAAATGCTACAGAAAGTTGTAGTTTTAAATTTTTGGATTATACTTCGAGAATATGAATGAAAACACTTCTTTTGTCAAACACATTCCCGGTTTAATTCAGAAATACTCTGTACCCAACGTTGACTGGAATTCTGTATAGTTCTGTTAGTAATTTCAGTTTATTTTACAGATATAAAAGATATTGATGTGGACATTGATAATAGCCATCCACTATCATTTTTATAATAGAAATAAATAAATACTTGTAAAAAAAAGTTTTATCTAACTTTCATAGACAAAACTTTTTCCTTTTTTTGTATTGAGGCTAATAATTCCCGTATAGCTGATGTTTGTTTTGTAACTAACTCGGGCACTCCCTTACACCGTGCTTTCCCATATAACTGATCTTTGGTTTGTAATCCTCTTCCATATGCAGGGACTCCCCTACATCACGCAGCCAAAGAACGAAAGAAGAAAGCAATCAACTTCCTGATTAAAAACGGCGCCTTTCTGCCAGATGACATAAGCGACACCAGGTTTAATCCATCAGTGCACTATTGTCCCGGTCTTGAATGGGCTTACGAGGAGATGAAGCGCCTTAAGGGCGACAGCAGCTCATCATCAGGTGAGAGTTCTTCATCTTGCTCTGGAAATTGAGGCGATCTACTTGGTAGTCGTCTAGTCAACGCCAGGCAGAGTTGACTTGTGAATTACATCTATATATATGTTGCGCATATATTGCTCGCTTGGATCTTATATCTGGTTTGTGGAAGTTGTCGTTTCATGGCTCGTCTCTTTTATTTTGGTTGTCGTATCGAACTATCATAGTGGTGTTAGTGGTTGGCTTGTCTGTTTCTGGTGTGTTGTATTGACAATAAGTGTTTGGGGAATGAGTATTGTTATAAATAAATCTATACTTCATGTATGGTATTGTTTTCTTGCATTTAAATTTCATATTATTCCTCCTTTTATCTGTTTGCTCTCATATGAATTTATTAAAGTCCAACTGAAGTAGAATCACACGAAAGGAATTTTTTCAAGCCCATAACACTTCATATCACCTCTTGTTTCATAAAGCTTTGATATACTACGTACTTTTTAGTATGTAAATTTTATTTTTAAATTCACCTTAATTCTCACTTACGAAGTTAATTATATTAAAAATAAATTCAATCGGACATTATAAATCGAAACAGACAATTACATTGAGACAAAGAGAGAAGAAGACGTTTTAAACTGTTTTGTAGGGTAGTAAGTTCTTCGTAGAAGTGAGCATTACACAATTTTAGCTTATGCTGTTGAATATTTCAGTTTGGCATGAAATTTTACATGTATCGACCACGGTTCTAAAATTTGGTTTGGCATTGTCGAGATGAAAGGATAATGATTTTCGGATAAATACACTCATATCTAATTTAATTTTAAAAAAATATAATAAAACCATTTAAATTCATTAGAGAGTTATAATGAAGAAACACAAAAAATAAAAAAAAAAGTTAATAGATGAAATAATGTGTACTACTCTAAATTTTGTTTATATATTCACAAACTAAAGTAATGAATAATAAGAATAATATACTCCGAATTTCAAATGCTTCTTAATATTGTTTAAATTTATCTACAAAAAAACATTTCAAATTAAGATAAGTTAGATATAATAAATTTTAAACCAATTTTTTAAAATAAAGTTAGTATTGAAGAAATGTAAAAAGATTAATATATGTATAATGCTCCGTATATTAGCATATACATGTTTAGTTCGAGATTTTCAGGTGGCCAAATTAGTTTAACTTTTTTGTGATTTTTTTATTTGATATTTTTCTGTTCATTTTTTTGGTTTTATTAGAGTAATAAGTCTTTTTTTTTTAAAAAAAATTCTTCTACATCACCCAATTTTTTTGGGTGCATATTTCACCAAATTTTGCATTTTTTATTTTTTTTGTGTGTGTGAAGGAATTAAATTTTTAACTTAATTCACTTTTTCTGTTAAAAAGTTGTCACAACATTTACTCCGTAATATTTCTCCTTCTCCCAAATGAATAGCATTTCTCCATGTAGTAGAATAAATACACACACAGAGAAGGAGAGGAGCGGAGAGAAGTAGTAGGAACCCTAGTCCATGAAACATCTGAAAACAAGCTCCGTCCCCAAATTCCCGAACAGATCACAGATCTGAGAGTGTGTGGAGCTGCTTCTCGTCGTCTCCATTTTTTCCGGTAAATTATTCACCTTTTTCCCGCGCATAACGCCACACCTCTCTCTCTGTTTGAACCACCGGAGCTCCGGGCGTATCCTCGCCGTACGCCGCCGCGTTGAGTTTCATATACATGTCCGAGGTGTGTCCCTATAGCGTCCCATTGTCCAAAAAGCTGTCCATCACCAGGTTCTGTGTGCCCCTGCTTCATAGGTGATGGCGGGTCTGAATTGTTTAATTTCGAGTACAGGAGAGGCAGATTTTGATAGAGGATATTAGAGCAGCATGGCCCAGCAGCAGCCATCGTCGCGACTCAATCGTCTGCTCACTTTATTGGACAGTATCCTTTGCTTCCCCTTATATCATGAAAAGAATTTCAAAAAAAAAAAAAACAAACTTTTACATGGATTCTATCTGCATTTGCTTCAATCAATTCATGGCACTCTAATTTTGTTGTATAAGGTTCCATTTTGTTATAGGTGATTTACTCTTGTTGGGTGGACAATATGTTCCTTTATCAGTTTTATTTGGGAAGTATATGGTGTTTGTTCTTAACAAAAGTATAGCTGGGTCCACCCAAGCAACAAGATTAACAGCAGCCAGACAGATAGGAGAAATAGCCAAATCACATCCTCAAGACTTGAACTCTTTGTTAAGTAAGGTATCAATATATGGATGTTTACTTTGCTTCCCATCTTCTTTATCTTATATTGTCAGATTTGTCACTCAGCATGTAGTCAGCATAACCATTTATTCTCACCCTTTTATTTTATACTACTCCATAATTGAGATTTGCACTGTTCTTACTCAATATTCTATGTGACTTCTCTTTTTGTTTTATATTTTATTTTTTTTTAAATTTGCATAAATTTTTATGGCAAAGTTAGGTTAGTGTGGCCAATTGTACAAAGTCATGAGTTCCATTAATCAATTTTAACTTCATCCTAAACAATTAATACAAATTATGCAAATTTAAATTAAAAATCGAAATAAACTAAGCATGATATAAACTGAATTACGATCGTAAAATAATAATTTTAAATATTATATTATATAAATTCAAAATTGAAATAAACTGAACATGATATAATTTAAGTGAGGGCATTTTGGTCAAAACAACCCATTACTTCAATTATACATTTTATTTGCATAGGGTCTATTTTGTTTATTTTGAAATGACATTTTCTTGGCTTAATAGCTACCACATGAGGGAAAAATTGATTCACAGGAAAAAATAATCTGAATTGCAGTTTGTGCGTGTGAATTTAAACAACTGGCTGTAGGGTCCCATTTTGGTCAATTTTTGGAACAACGGGTTTGCATTTCATCTGATTGGGCAAAAAAAACCAGTTTCTACCGACTGTAATAATGTGAAGTCTTAGTTGATTCTAGTGTTGGCTGTAGAGGTTTTATGTTAAGAGTTAAGGATGTGAATTTGGAGTTAAAAATTTGCACCAAACTATCCAAATAGTTTTAAATTGTAGGTTTCACAATATCTACGAAGCAAAAAGTGGGACACCAGGGTTGCTGCAGCTCATGCCATTGGGGCAATAGCAGAGAATGTTAAACATACATCTCTGGCTGATGTATGCGATTCTATTGAGAAGAAATTGGTAGAAGCTGGGATTTCTGGTCCAGTTGAAGATTTAGTAGCATGGTCTAAATGTAATCCTAAACTTCCTGGAGGCACTTCTTTTGGAAGGTTAATATATTTCTTTCTTTCTTTCTTTCTTTTTTTTTTTTAAATTTCCTCACGACAAACACCTTGTGTGCCTTTGCAATCTCTCTCTCCGTGTGTTGTGTGTTCGAGTAACTAATACTCACTTCTCAAGTTACAAGTGCTATTTTGGATTACAAGGTTTGACTAGAGTTAAAGTTAATTCTTCCATAATATTAGTAATTAAACTTATATTTAAAACTCAGTATTTAAATAAATTTAAAACAACATTCAAAGTAATCCTCAACATCTTACACTGAATTTGAATATGATAACATCTGGTATAGAAATCAAGATAGCAGCAGAGTTGGGTGAACCACACGAATAATTACTACGGTGTACTTTACTAGGATATAATGAGACAGTAACATATTTGCTCATATTCAAGGTGGTTTGTGTATAGATTGTCATTCAAATTTTCTATACTTTTACTTGCTATTTATTTACATTTTACCTATTGCAGTTTTGATTTGAACAAAGTATTGGAGTATGGTGCTCTATTGGCATCTGGGGGACAGGTAACAAAAAGTCTAAGAACTGTTCTTCAAATTCCACCTTTGTTAATAAAACCAGAGAATCCACTGAAGTAGTCAAAAAAGGGAACATGTGGGAAATATTTTTGCTCTTTGTGGTTACATATTGTAATATTTTATGAAGGGGGCAATTGGATTATGCTGAGCATTTTTTACACAAGCTACAATAGTATAAAAAATAATCATGAAAGAAACTGCAAAATTTGGTTGTAATACTGGAGGCTTTATTGAGAAGGAAAAAAGAATAAAACTAAAATTTGACAGTTCCTTTCTTCATTGGCTAATGCTGTGCCCCATACAACAGTTGGTGACTGCACCTTTTTGAACTTACACATTAGTTTTGGTGGCACGTTCTTTCTGTATAGGAATGTCTATTTCATCCAGTCCATTTTGATACAATGAGTGACATCACTGTCCAACACGCAGGAGAAAGGACTTAAATCTTAACATATGATCCCTACATCCCAAGTTTGTTTTATGAATTTGATTTCAAGGAGATTATGAATAGTAATGAGAAATGTTAAAAATATGTTATCAAGTGAAAAGTGAGTGGTTAGAATTTGTTTATAAGATATTAGAGCATTTTGTGGGACGGCTAGAGTAAACAACAACAACAACAACCCAGTTGAATCCCACTACAGCAAAAAAGGGGGCATACAAATAATGCTCAAGTTGTTACCCCATTTTATATAGGAGTTCATATTTTTTTGGGGCAGTATCTCCCAACCATGGAAGATGATATAAGTGATCTTCATACATATTATTTCTTAGACTTGAACTGTGTGTTTGCACACATGTGTGTATGTGTGATTAATGCAGTAATTATCTTCATTTTAGGAATATGATGTTCCTGCTGACAACAGTAAAAACACAAAGGAGAGATTGGCTCGACAAAAACAAAACCTGCGACGAAGATTGGGTAAATCAGCAAAAAAAGCTGTATAGTACTATAGTTTATGCTTTACAAATATGCTTGCTTTGCCACCTTGTATTTTGTGGAAGGTTCACATGTGTGTGTTACACAGTTGTTGTCAATCTAACTTAAAATGTTGCATAGTCCCTTTTGAAGCAAATGTCTAGTTTGCTTAGCCTGAATTTAACATGAATATGATAGAGATTTTAGCTTGATTTTCTTTGTTTCCATATCTGAAAATGTTAGCCTTATATGTATTTTGTGAGTTCATATGTTTTTCTTTTGGGAAATTTGTTGCCAATAATTCTATGTTTGGGCGGTCTTCTAGAGATAATTACAAGTTTCAATGTTTCAAAGTTTCAAAATGTGTACACTGAAGATTTAACATAAATTATTCCAATCTTGAATTGGATTGGACCAAAATAAATTTTCCAATTGTTTTTTATTATTTAAATGATGCATTTGGCATTTAGATGCTCCATTTTAAAACTAACAAATGGCATAGGATATCCCAACAAAGTCCACAGTCCAAGTTTGGAATTGTCTGTCTAATCTTCTGCTTACTTATTTTTGAGATTCTGATTCTGGGTCAAAGTGGTCCGGTCGGATCAGATTTTTCAGAATCTAACACCGTTAGCCTTTCGTTATATGCCAACATTGTATCTTGGAATTACATTTGGAAACGACTTAAACTTTGGATTATTGGCAGCTAAAAAACCCCTTTTCTTTTTTATGATGACTAAAAATATTGTGCTGGGTTGCAATTAAAATTTCTTATGCATATCAGATTGTATTATAGAGACCAACATTTATGGGATCCAGTAGGATGGGATATACAACTACACAAATTAAGTTCTCCATAATACTTAAAGCTTTAATGTCTTTTAACATAGTGGCATTTTAAGTGATATTGAATGTGCTTGTTAATTGCAGAACATTTTTTATTGCATTTTTTTTGTTATCGAATGTCTCCAGGTCTAGATGTGTGTGAGCAGTTCATGGATGTTAGTGAAATGATAAGAGATGATGACCTTGTGCTTCAAAGAGTTAATTCGCCTGTTACTAGCGTTTCTTCTCAATATTATTCACCAAGGCCCCAGGTTAATCTTCGGCATTATGTTTCAAATATTGTGCCAAGTGGCAAAAGTCGACGGCCAAGCGCAAGGGAATTAAATCTATTAAAGAGAAAAGCAAAGATTAGTTTGAAAGACCAGACAATAGGGTGGACCAAGGATGGAGAGTTAGATGCTCCACCCCCACAAGATATGACTTCGCCAAGGGGCATCCATTCTGATGCAGTGGTCTCTGCTAAGGTGAATTTAATGTTATTTGCCTAAGTGGGTGTTCAGTTTGTCAGTTATTGAACAAAAAGAGAAAGAAATTGCATGTTTGCATGTGGCCTAACTTATATATCTCAAAAAAAAAAACAAAAAGCAAAAAAGAATGCAAAGTACTTGCATTATTGCTACATATTGTGCCTAATCACTGAATATGCTTATTTAAATATATTTGTAACTTTGTATCTAGTTATGTACTTGCAATCCTAAGATCTTTTGCACGATCATTTGGTATACAGAATAATCAACTATGCATTCTAAGTTTTAGCTATGGCATCTCTCATTCACTTCAAGATTTTTTTAGTACTTCATGTGAAACAAATTGATGTGTTAATAAATTAAAATATAAGCATTCTGTTTTTTCTGTAATGTCCAGTCTCAAAGGCTCTGAGAACCATATGGGAGAAGTTGCGTGTATTGTTGCCCAAGAGAAGTAAAATAAAAAAAATGCCCACCCAAACTGAATTTATTTTGAGCCTTTGGGGCTTACATGGTCTATATCAAATATGTGTTTTTAGGCCATCATTTGGATGTTGACGTTTGCTTAAAATTAATTTCCTTTACATTTGCTGGACCGACCTCAAGGTTCAATCTGAAAACTTGTTAAATGCAGATGCTGGATAGTGTGTCTGATGAAGAGGGCTCGGAGAGTGATGGGGATTGGTGTTGGCCGTTTCAAAGCTTTGTTGAACAGCTCATGCTTGATATGTTTGATCCTCGTAAGAAACTATGCATTTTATTGCCCATTTTGGATATTTATGATTTCTTGTGAGACAAGAACTGGACCTTTTCTTATTTCTTTTTCTTAGTGTGGGAGGTTCGTCATGGAAGTATCATGGCATTGAGAGAGATATTAACTCATCAAGGTGCAAATGCAGGAGTTGTTGTGCCTGATATCACCTGTGATGTTGGATTAGATTCTATTATTAAAGATAAGGTTCTTGAAAAGCAGGAAAGCGGAATTGATTTGAATTTACAAGTTCCACTTCACGAGTCAGGACCAGCTTTCAAGAAGCCTAAGATTCAAGATGCATCACCTGTAGAAATGGATGCAATGTCCTCTCTCAGTAGGTTGAGTAATAATAATATTCCAGCAAAAGCTGAGAATACTGTAATGAATATGCCTGTAAAGCAGGAGAATGGTGAATGCAGTACTGGTCATGTTAAGATAGAAGCTCAAGCTTACCCTAATTGGGAAAGCTCCGATGATACGATGGAGGGAAAGGGATCTTTTGAGCACAGTATATCATTGGAAAAGATTGATATGTCAAAAAGCCTTACTGGAAACTGTGAGCTGATGAACATGGTGAAATTGGCAAGACATTCTTGGCTTAAAAATTCTGAATTTCTTCAAGACTGTTCAATTCGTTTCTTGTGTGTATTGTCCCTGGACCGGTATGATATTTCCTTCAGTGCTGAGTTTGAACTCTTACCTTCCTCTTTAGGGCTCATTCGATCACACCTATTCACAAATAATTGGCTGGGGCTTCACTATTGAAATAAGTGAAACATTAGTATAATCTGTACTAAGTACTTGGGTGTAGAGCAATCATTTTTAATTTTAAAGTGGGGTTTTAGTACACCATACATACTTTTGCTTTGCATTTTCAACGTCTAGGTGAAACAAGTAGTAGATAGCGAACACTAGGGGGAAATGCCAAATTGGTTTTCATTCACTCAGAAGTTCATCGTAGACATTGATACTCCGCCCGGTGCTCTTATTTTTATACAGAAACTTATGCCTTCTTTTAGTGAAGATAAAAAAGAGGCTTTGTAGGCTCACAAGAAAGTGCAAGTTCCTATCTGTTTGTTTCTTTCACTTATTTGTTCCAGTGTTCTTATTAAGTTTTTGATCAAGTTGTCAATTTGTCCTTGCAGTTTTGGAGACTATGTTTCTGATCAAGTTGTTGCACCTGTTCGAGAAACATGTGCTCAAGCATTAGGTGCCGTGCTTAAGTATATGCATCCTACTTTTGTGTATGCGACACTAAATATCTTGCTACAAATGCAGGTAAATATGAAATGTGTTATGTTTTCGGGAAACGAGATAAATTTGTTAGATTTTGGTAAACAATTGATAAGTAGAGACTAGAGAGTGAGATCTCTGCTCAGATTTGGGTTTACTTTTCACTTTTATTTAATAAGATCTGCTTCATTTCCAGAATAGACCTGAGTGGGAGATTCGTCATGGTAGCCTCTTGGGCATCAAGTATCTTGTTGCTGTGCGCAAGGTATTTTTTAGACTGTTTCATATTACCCTGCTGATATAAACTTGTAGCGTATTACTTGCCTCATTTATTGATTTGAATATTATAATGTGACTTCTGTGAAACAAAGGTCTATCTTAGTAAAATTTTCCTACATAAATTCATAATATTTACTATCTTGTACCCACTCCAATTTTCTACAGATATTGAAATGACTGCTGTGTGTTTACTACATATATCACTTTTAATATCGATAAGCACAGATACTGAAATGACCTTTAAGCAATGAGTTTAAGGTGTACTTGCATTGGTGATATTCTTAGGGTGAATTGCATATGTAATTGTACAATATCTCTACCGTCATATTCCATAATATGCATGTTGGTTTTACGATTTCAGTTTTGCAATTTGACATGACTATAGCTAGTATCTCCCCTCATTGCCTTCTCATGATACTCCCCATGCTTGTACAAAACATTAGATGATGACAAATGTGGAATTTTATCTCATTTTTTCTTTGCAATAAGAAGTGTATCTGGTACAACCCAATACCAACATAATGCTTTCCGTGTTGCCATTGTTTATTTTAAAGGCAATATGGACAAACATCACTACGGATGGGCGACTGGACAAAAATATTACCAAAACATTACCCCTGTTGGCCACAAACAATATAGAATATGAAAATTGGTATTGACACTCTCTGTATAAAACATATCGGAGTGTTTTTGTCAAATCTCTCATTGTTGATAGTGTGGTCGGCTACATGCATCAAAGATTTTGTTGGTTGCCTAGACCTCCTAACACAACCCTACTCTTTTATCCGGGCAGGGGACCGGCTGTGTAACTTAGTTACAAAGGTAGAATTTTGGTAATGGGAAAAAAATTGAGAAAAATTTTACTAATGGGAAATTTCTATATTGTCACACATCCATGAGAATAATGTTCACACATCTAAAACTCGTTTTTGAATTTTAAGATTCATTGAATCTAGTTTTGGTATCAAACAAGTATGTTTATGCCATAAAATATTTTATTAAATTTAATATTACACGTATCCATGAAATTATTTTTAATATTGAATATGGATTCAATGAATTTTAAAAAATACCCAAACCAATTTGAGATGTTTATGAAAAAATTCATGAGTCACATTGTTTTTTACCCTATTTTTACTTGGCTTTCATTTTTTCCTTTACATTGTTTTCTCGCTGGTTTTTAGTTATTGATTACTACAATATTTTTCTTCCAAGAATTTCTTCTTTTTCAATTCAATATTTCTTCCTTCGAATTTCATTTTAATACATTCTATAATTCTTCCTTGTATCAGGAAATGCTTAATGATTTGCTTGGCTATGTTCTCCCAGCATGTAAACGTGGGCTTGAGGATGCGGATGATGATGTTCGAGCAGTGTCAGCAGATTCTTTAATACCAACTGCAAGCGCTATTGTTTCCTTAAAAGGCCAAATCTTGCATACTATTGTTATGCTACTCTGGGATATTTTACTTGACCTTGATGATCTGAGCCCATCTACTAGCAGGTATGCGTGAGTTATTTATTGTTTATATTAATGTATTATCATTCTTTATTTTTTGAAAACATTCTTCTTTAATTTATCGTTTAAAGGAAACAAGGTTATTCGTGTTGATTACCCATTTTCATTTTAATACCTTAATTGCTTATGCCCATCCAGGTTTTAGTGTTTTGATTTATGCTTTATTGTATTTAATGGAGTATATTTTTAACAGAAGCACTTTGCTAGTGGGATTTTTTCCCTTCCACTATACTTCAAATTTTGTTTATGGTAAGATTGAACATATGGGGTGCACCTTCTTAGGCCATGTTTTCTTTAACTTATTCTTATTACTTGCTCCATGTTACTTTTTCTTGGAATCATATTAGACCATATCAGAGAAGCAACTTTTAATATAAGTACATTTAAATCAGATAATAACTTATTCCAATTAGATTAGGTTAAGAGAACATGGTCCTCGTCCGGGTCGCATAATACATCATAATCATTAATTTTTGCCTTATCCTAGGGATTTCTTTCTAAACTAACAAAGTGAGTTTATTCTTATTCCATGTTAATTGAGTATCCTACATTACAAGTAAATTTGTTGAAGACTTGAAGATGCATTTGTAAAAGAAGTTTCACTTGTTTGATTAAAATGTAATCTCTCAATTAATAGTATGACTAGAAACAAGCACACATCATCAAAGGAATTTGTAAGTGCATGTTCCACCTTTGTTAGTCTCTGAGTCTTTCTATCTTTGCTCCAGTTTTGCCGACCCAAAAAAAGGCAAGAGGCGGGTGACCAAGGATCATAATCCAAATCTATTCATTAATGTCAAATAAGATAAATTAGTTACTACATAGAACAAATTTGTAGGTTAAGAGTTAGGAATAAGGCAACTACACCCCAATTTCAAAGTCACGACGAGTCCTAACTCAAAATTAGTTCAAGATCTTCCACCGTTTTGCCATATCCATAATCATTATTCTCATCATCCTCTCATCCACAAGATAATGGGTGTTGACGTTGGTGCGCGGTGTCAAGTTTGTTGGCTGTGAATATGCACTTGGACCACATCTTGTAGTCCTTTGACCATAATAAATGAGTTCATTTGCTTCTGTAAATTAAAAATATCATGCCAAGTTAGTTCATCAATTGAGTTCTCTTCAATGGTATCCTCCAAACAGATAATTTCATTGTTTGGAGGATATTTCATTACTGCAGATTCTTTAAAATTAAGATCTACTACTGCTTCTCTCCTGTTTTCTCTTCTATCATGAGCCGAGATATTGCAAAAAATATAGATCTGGGATGCGGGAGAGGGTCT